CAGCCCCCGCGTGCGTGCCATCGGGACTCCAAGGGTGGGGGATGGACAGCTGCCAACTCTCTCTCTCTCTCTCTCTCTCTCTCTGTGTGTGTGTGAGTGTGTGTGTGGTGTGGAGGGTAATTCCGGCTATCTCTGGCCTCCGCTCGGTTTTAAAGTCGCTTGGCCGGTTCCCAAGTCGCAAGCGCGCGCTGGCCGGGAGACGCGGCGCCGGGTGGAAGCTCGGTGCAGGGGAGGCAGATCTTTCTCTCTTAAGCGGGGAGGGGAGGAGGGGACAAGAGGAGGGACGGGACGGGACAGGGGGCGGGAGGAGGGCGCTCGCCTTCTTCCACCGCCCACCGGACCCTTTTCTTCCCAAGGGGACCCTGGAAAGCAGCTCGGGAGCCGGGTGGCCCTGCCCAGCGGGGTCCCATCAGGAACTTCCTGAGGACACCCCCCCCCGCCCCAAGCACAGCCCTCCCGGTCTTTCAAAGAGGGAGGGAGAAGCGGGAGGAGCAAATTGCCGCCCCCGCCCCGCTGCCCAGAAGGAGGGGCGCCACAGTCCACCCCCACCACCTTCTCCCTCCCACTCCCCGGGCCATTACGTGGCTCGGGGCTGGCTGGGCGAAGCGGCCCCGCCAGAGACCCTCCCGCTCCACCCCCACCCCACCTCCAGATTGGCCTCCGCAAGCGCCCCGAGCCGGGCGGAGGGTGGGTGGGTGGGTGGGAGGAGGAGGAGGAAGAGAGACTTCGGCTGGGCTTGAAGGGGCTTCGCAAGTTGCGGAGCTCCGCCCCCGTCGCTCTTGCACCGAGTGACAATGTATTTACCGGCGTATAAGACGACCCCCCCACTTGGAGGCATGTTTTTTAGGGCAAAAAAGTCGTCTTATACGCCGGCAAATACGGTATATCTATTTCATTAACAATAACACTCTAGCTAGGGAACAGCGGGACGCAAGGCCAACGAAAACCACAGGCCAGACACAATATAAATGTCATAAAACGAAATTACTTGGCTCAATACTTTCCATAATAGCTACCCACCATTAGCTAGGTCCAAAGGCATCTGCTGAAATCTACCGATTTGATCGTGATGTGCAAACAAACGTTGGTACTACACAGTGAGGTCACCTTGGTCGTTGATTCCATCATGATTACCTCCAACCACTTTGAGTATGGGTCCGCCACTATTAAGAAGGTCTGTCCTTGGCAGGGCCCGGTGAAATCAACATGTACCTGGGCCCGGAGATGTGGGTGTTTCCCATTTTAAGGGTGTTGCCGATGGTGGTGCAGACTGGGAATCTTGGCATGGGGGGCAAGCGGCGACCCAGGCCTCAATTTCCTTATGTAGCCCTGGCCACCACACATAGCTTCTGGCGAGGGCTTTCATGCGAACAATTCCAGGGTGGCCCTTGTGTAGCAATGTGTGTACCCTCGCTCTTAAGGGTGGGGGAATGACCATCCGCTCTCCCCACAACAGGCAAGCCTTCATCACGGATAGCTCAGTTTGTCTGCTTTTCAACGGCTTCAGTCCGTCCCCATCTATGGTTTCCGGCCATCCCCTCCACACCCAGTTTGAAATCCACGCCACGGTTCTGTCCTTGGCCATAAGTCTCGTGATTTCTGTTGACGTCATCAGGTCAGGCCAGAGGCTTTCCACTAACCCTAACCCTAACCCAGACAAATTCCTTGTGAGTCCAATCACGCTTGGCCAAGAAAGAGTTCTAAAATTCTAAATGAGCTGAGATCAGGGCGAGGGTTAATGATTGGCAGCCCTGCAATTGCCGACTTGGGTGGGGGGCTGTGAGAGGTTCAAGGCTTGCAGTGGGAATGGTTTCCATGAGGATTGTTTTCATTCGGAGGAGCGTAAGACACGGGATGCCCTGAGTCAGGATGAAGACCTCAACCGAGCTGCAGTCATAGATCTTTTGGGACAGGTTTAGGGAAACAGGGACCATCCAACAATCCAAGGGGAATGTAGAAGGACACAAACCGGAGCACTTCCAGTATCTGAGGGGCCGTTCTCCAAAGCCCCTGAGGGCAGGACAAGAAACAATGCAGGGAGGCTAAGCGAGGAAAGAAGCAACCTGGAGCTCAGGAGACAGTTCCTGAAAATGGCGACAATTAGCCCGTGGAACAGCAGTTGCCTCCAGAAGTTGTGGACGCTTCATCCCTGGAGGTTTTCAAGAGGAGACTGGACAGCCACTTGCCTGCAATGGGATAGGATCTCCTGTTTGAGCGGGGGCTGGACTAGAAGACCTCCAAGGTCCCTTCCAGCGCTGTTATTCAGGGTTTATGTCCTCCTCCCCCCTCCCAATTCACCTGCCTGCACCATGTTCTGTTGGGATGGGCAGCCATTTAGCTGGTGCAGTGTGTGTGTGTGTGTATGTGTTTTCAGTGGGATCTCCCCATTGGAGCTTAAACACAATTCCTCCTTCTCTCAGCAGCCCGAAGCTCTGCTCTGTAGGTCAGAGCCTGGAGGGCCACCCCAAAGGCCCAGGGCTGCAGGCGGCCCATCCCAGAGCAGGGAGGGAGGGGGCCCATGGCAGCCAGAGATCACAGGAGCACCCCCTCCCCCCTGCGGAGTCCGGTGCCCAAGGGAAGGAAGGGGAAACGGTGGCTCAGCGACCGATGGACGCAGGGAGGAAGCTCCAAGGAGACGCCTGGATCCCGGATGCCCTCTGAGCATCGAGGGGGCAACACAGATAAATAAACGTTCCCTTCTCGACTCCTCGCCCTCAAGCCTTGAGAGGAGCCAGCGGGAGGAGCCCAAAGGAGACCCCTCCAGACAGAGCAGCTCATTCTTCCACCCGCTGCAGGGCCGGCTGCCCAACAACTGGGGTGAGTGAGGCAGGGTGTGTGTGTGTGTGTGTGTGTGTGTGTTCCAGTGATGCATTCCAGAGCGCCATCTTAGCCAGTGCCTCGCTCTTGCGACCTCCAGTGCTGGGTTCAGAGCCACAGACTGATGCCAGAGGCTTCGCTGGGGTGGCTGGTTAGTTCAAAGCAGGGGTCCCCCTTGGCCACTTGAAGACCTGTGGACTTCAACTCCCAGAATTCTCCAGCCAGCAGAGCTGAAATCCACCAGCCTTAAAGTGTTTGGAGACCTCTGGGTTGAAAGAAACGGAGAAGCTGCAGCTCCTGGAGGTTGTGGTTTGCTCTTGGGGGGGGGGGGGGGGGTCTCACAAAATGTTCTGAAATATCCTCCACCCATTACAGGGCCTTATAATCCATGAAAAGGCAGCTGAGTTTGCTGAGTCCCCCTGAAAGGGAGTCATGTGGAGATTAAAGCGACAAAGCCCCCCCCCCTTGGGGATAAGCAGCCGAGAAGAGCAACAAGGATGCTGGAGGCAAACATGTGGGACGGATGGCGGCAGGAACTGGGATCGCCTAGAAAAGAGGAGGATTGGGGGGGGGGACACACACGACAGGACAGCAGTCTCCCATTACTTGAGGGGCTGCCCCAGAGAAGAGGGGAGGGGGTCAACCTCTCCTCCAAAGCACCTGGAGGCAGGAGGAGAAGAAGCCACGGATGGAAATTTACCAAAGAGAGATCCAACCTAACATCATTCAGGAGCAACTTCCTCTCAGTAAAAACCCTTGATCAGTGGGATGGCTGGATGTCTGTGGAGCTTCTCAATCATCCTGGTGGTGGTTGTCCCAAAGGTGCTTTTCCCAAAAGGCAACTGGGCTTAATATTGAGGTTTTTTTTCCTTTGAAAATGTTTTGCTTCTCATCCAAGACAGGCTTGGATGAGAAGCAAAACGGAAGAAGGAAAAAAAAAACCACCAAGAAAGCCCAGTGGCCTCTTGGAAAAACCACCCTTGGGATGAATGGAGGAGGTTGCCTCCAACAGTTGGAGGTCTTCAAAAGTAGACTTCACAGCCTTTTGCCTGGGGTGGTGTAGGGTCTTCTGCCTTGGGCAGGGGGTTGGACTAGAACAGGGGTCATGAACCTTTCAGACCTCAGGGACCACTAAATTCATAATTTTGAACCCTGCAGACCATTTATATGAATTTTTTAAAACGACAAATAGTACTTAGTACAATTTTAAAAATGCAAATAATTTTTCTTTGGACTACCAAAATTTTCTCATGGACAACCAGCAGTCCATGGACCACTGGTTGGTGACCGCTGGACTAGAAAACCTCCAAGGTCCCTTCCAACAGTAAGACTATGGCTAAATTTGCAGATGATACAACAGTGGTGGGACTCATCTCCTGGGGGGATGAGTCTGCCTACTGAGATGAGGTGGACCAACGGTTGCTTTCATGATGTGGAGACAATAAGTTGGTCTTCAACACCATAAGACAAGGAGCCTATATATAGTGGATTATAGAAGGAACAGATCAGACCTCCAGCCCTTGCTTATCAATGGAGACCGAGTGGAGCAAGTGGCCAGTTTTAAGTTTCCCTAAAAGAGGACCTGACCTGGGGGTGCTCGCATTGCAGCCCTGGTCAAAAGGGCCCAGCAGAGATTATACTACCTGAGGCTTCTCGGGAAACAACAGCCAGATGGAAAACTGCTGGTGACCTTCTACCGCTGCACCACAGAGAGTATCTTAACTTACTGCACCTGTGTATGGTTTGCCAATTGCACAGGGGCAGATGGGACAGCGTTCCAGAGGGTGAACGTCATTGCCCAGAGGATCCTGGGTTGCCTTCTCCCCTCTTTGGAAGAGCTTTATAGCTCCCGCTGCCTCAAGAAAGTTCAAAACATTCTCAAAGATCCATCTCATGCTGGGCACCCTTTGTTTGAACTATTACCACCTGGCAGACGGTACAGGACAATAATAAAAAGGACAAATAGGCTGAAAAACAGCTTCTATCCCAGGGCAGTAGCTCTGTTGAATCCTACTGTATAGTGCAGTGTTGGTGTGGTGTTATGGGTTTTCAGTTCAATGCATAGAATGTGAAGGATGTGTATTTATTTTCATGGTCATGGTATGCCCTGAAGATGGTGTTTGATTTATTGCAAGGGCAATAAAGTAAACTAAAACTATGGTTCTATATTCTGATGTGGCAGGTGGGCCCTTGTTTAGGGTGCAGCCAAGTTCACCCCTTCCTGCTTTTTGGTTCTCCCTCCCTGCCTCAGGTGACGACGCTGACGGTGGATCCAGCGTGTGCCATGCCTCCCAGGAGCTATGTTTGCGCTTAACGGGAGCCATGGCACTTCCTCCTCCTTCCTCCTGCTGGGGATTCCTGGCCTGGAAGCTTTTTACCGCTGGATCTCCATCCCGCTCTCCTCCCTGTACGTTGTGACTCTGCTGGGGAACAGCACCATGCTGTACGTGATCACCACCGAGCAGAGACTCCACAAGCCCATGTACCTCTTCCTCTGCATGCTGTCCACCATAGATCTGGTCCTGTCCACCTCCACCCTGCCCAAGATGCTCCGTATCCTCTGGTTCCGAGCTGGAGAAATCAGTTCCACGGCCTGCCTGGTCCAGATGTTCTTCATCCACGCCTTCTCGGTCATGGAGTCCAGTGTGTTGGTGGCCATGGCCTTTGACCGTTTCGTGGCCATCTGCAACCCCCTGAGATACGATTCCATCCTAACCACCCCGCTGCTGACCAAGATTGGCATCGTAGTGGTCCTGAGAGGCACCCTCTTCATCGCCCCAATCCCCATCTTAGCCGCACGCCTTTCATACTGCAAGAGCAACACCATTGCTCACACCTATTGTGAGCATATGGCGGTGGTGAAGCTGGCTTGCTCAAGCATCCTGGCCAACGTGGTCTACGGGCTCCTGGTGGCCCTCCTGGTGGTCGGGGGCGATCTGCTGTTTATCACCTTTTCCTACTGCATGATTACCAGGGCGGTCCTGGCCCTGCCCTCACGAGATGCCCGCTACAAGGCCTTCAGCACCTGTGCAGCTCACGTGGTGGTCATCCTGGTGTCCTACACGCCAGCTCTCTTCACCATCCTGACACACAGATTTGGCCACCATGTGTTACCTTACGTGCACATTCTTCTGGCCAACTTCTACCTCCTCTTCCCTCCCATGCTGAACCCCATTGTCTACGGAGTGAAGACCAGGGAGATCCGAGACCAAGTGGTCACTCTCGTCCTTAGGAGGAAGGGCCTTGCATGACGGACTTCACCAGGACCTTCTATGCAAGAATCACTTGCTGAGATGGGCGGTTATAGTGATCAAATGAAGCCCATTCGATAATGTAAGGCCAGGACGACATAAATCACCCAAACATTTATTTATTTATAGATCACATTTGGAGACTGCCCATCTCCCTCCTAGAGCAATTCTGGACGATATACAAATACACACAAAGATATGTGTGAATCTAAAAAGAGTTAAAAACAAGAATTAAATATATTTTATTTGCTTAGCCTGAATTTCACAAACACAGCAACCACAGCTGACTGATCATTGCTTTTGAAATGAAAAGGACAGAAAAATAACCACTTTGAAGATGTTTCATAGCTTAGCAGATCTCGTCTCCACCCTGCTTATGCATCAGTCCCTTATCTAGTTCTTGGTTAATTTTAATATTTTAATTCTTAATGTCAAAGGCTTTTCATCTTTTAAGGTTTGTTTTGGATTGTTTTTATACTGTTGAGAGCTGCCCAGAGTTGTTTGACAGCGAGGTGGGAGGCATATACATTTAAGAAATAAATAAAATAACACTCTAAGGCAGAGCTGTCCAACCTTAACTTTTTAAAAAAGACTTGTGAAAGTTTAGAGATTCTCAGACCTCCAAGGTCCTTTCCAATTCTAATTCTATTCTGGTCATGGTTGTTCCAAAGGTGCTTTTCCCAAAAGGTAACAGGACTTTCTTGCTTTTTCTTCTGAAGGCATTTCACTTCTCATCCAAGAAGCTTCTTCAGCTCTGACTGGATGGTAGGGAATGGAAGGATTTCTACTTCCAATACACTTCACCTCCCACCCTCAAAACGCTGCAATAGAGCACTGCACAGCAGAACAACTAGACACAAGGGCAGCTTTTTCTCCCCCGAATACCATCACTCTGCTAAATAAATAATTCCCTCAGCACTGTTCAACTATTCACAAAGTCTGCACTACTGTTACTGTTAATCGTCTCATCACTCCTATCACCTCCTCTCACTTGTGACTGTATGATTGTAACTTTGTCACTTGTATCCTTACGATCTATACTGACTGTTTCCTAGTATGATTTGATTCTTATTGTATCCTATGACTATTTAGTGTTGTACCTGATGATTCTCAACTCTTGACGAATGTCTCTTTTCTTTTATGTACAGTGAGAGCATTTGCACCAAGACAAATTCCTTGTGTATCCAATCACACTTGGCCAATAAAAGAATTCTATTGTCTGTTCTGTTCTACTCAGGTAACTTTGAGGACACAGATAAACCTCCAAGTGGCCTCAAAGACCCCGGATGCAAAGGAGTAGAGATCCTTCCATTCCCCACCATCCAGCCAGAGCTGTGCCTTCAAAAGAAAAAAACAAGAAAAATCCAGTTGCCTCCAGAAAAAAAAAAAGCACCTTTGGGACGACCTATGGACTCCAAGCCCCAGAATCCCCCAGCCAGCATGGGTTGCCCAAGGAATTATGGGCGTTGAAGTCCACAAGTCTTAAAGACACGCCTCAACTTGTGTGTCTTGAAAATGGGACCCAGGAGAGCAAAACGTGTGGGAGACACACCGCCGCCCCCCTGCTCCTCCTCGGGGGCCGTCAGGGTTGCGGGGGCCGCTGAGGGGCCCTGCGAGGCCCGCACTGGAAATAGGCCCCTTCTCCCCGGGCGGGGATCTCTGGCGCAGGAGGGGAGGCCTCCATCCCCGGGGCGGATTCCGCCTCCCAAGGAGGCTTCCAGTGGGGCACAGAGCGGGGTCCGCGGAGATGCACGAGGACCGCGGAGGCCGGGATAGGAAGCGGGCAGGCGGGCGGAAGGCTGCGCTCCCGGGCCGGGCCTTGAGAGAGGGAGGCTCCCCGGCGCCACCAGCGGCCTCCTCCCTCCGGCCTCAGGAGGGCAGCCATCTTGCCCCCTCCTTTCCTCATGCTCAGAGGAAGGCCCGCCTCTTCCTCCTCCTCCTTACTAGGACCTACATTGACCGGACCACGTCTCGGGGGCTGCAGGCCAAAACCTTCAGGCCTTCCGTTTCTCACCCCGGCGTGACAATCCCGGTCTGCCCGCTTCTTCTTCCCCCCGATACTTTCTACCGCCCGCGCCTCCTCCGGGTCCCTCTCTCCCTGCAAAGCTGGCGGGGGAATTCTGGGAGTTGAAGTCCACATGCCCTTTCCCTCTAAGGCGGCTCGCCTTTCCCCAGGCACGCACCCCAGAGACCCTGGAGACACGCCCCCTCCCGTCTCCGGGCCAATGGCCGCGAGCGGAGGGCCGAACGGCGGCCGGAAGAGGTGCGGCGTACTGCGTCACTTCCCCCAGCGAGGATAAACCTCCCGGCGTGCCGCGCGCGCGGTCTCTTTTCGTTCCGCGCGGGCAAGATGGCGGACACGCAGGTGGGTCCCGCGCGGGCTCCGGGCCGGTCCGGGGCTTTGGGCGGCGGGCTCTGGGCGGCCGTGGCTCCCGGCTGAGCGCGCTGTGCTTCCCCTGCAGACGGAGCGGGCCTACCAGAAGCAGCCCACCATCTTCCAGAACAAGAAGCGGGTCCTGCTGGGCGACGCCGGCAAGGAGAAGCTGCCCCGCTACTACAAGAACATCGGCCTGGGCTTCAAGACCCCCAAGGAGGTGCCCGCGGGCGGCGGGAGGGCGGGAGGGGCGGCGCTGGGGGGGACGACCCGCGGGGGTCACGCGGTCTCTCTCTCTCTCCCCCCCCACCCCTGCAGGCCATCGAGGGCTCCTACATCGACAAGAAGTGCCCCTTCACCGGCAACGTCTCCATCCGGGGCCGCATCCTCTCCGGTAGGCCCGCCGCCCTGCGAAGACCCTCCCCGGATCCCGCCCCTCTTTCCTCCCCCTCCCTCTTCCAGGCCCCGGTTGTCCCAGAGATGCTCCCCCCTCCCCAAATGGAAGGATGCCCGGGCCTGGCAGGATTTGCCTCTGAGAGCCCCTGGGGCCGCTTGACCTGGGCCCTCGGGGTCCCCCGAGAAGCCTCCACCGTTTACCTGGGGGCTCCAGCCCAGTGGTTGCCAGCCGGTGGGCCGCAGAGCAATGTCCCCCCCCAAAGCAATGAATCCAGGCTGCGTGGGAACCCAAGGCGGGGCCGCCCACCCGCTGGCCCCCACT